AATCGTCCAACGAAGGTTACTCTTGGACGACGCTCCTTGGTGGCCGATACATAATTGCTGTGTTTATGCACCAGTTCACGTACGACCGAGCGTATTTGTTCACCGACAAGGCGGAGATGTACTACACGACCGACACAGGCCAGCAATGGCTTCCTATGGCTCTACCAGGCAAGCCTAACGGTTTTGGCGTTGGTCTGCTGTCCTTCCACCCAACCCAACCCGACTGGCTCATCTTTAGCAGCGAACAAGGCTGTGATGGCGATAGTTCATCGTGTCGTGTCGAGGCTTACTACACCCTTGACCATGGGCGAAACTGGAAGTCTGTGGAACAATACGTGCGGACCTGTACGTGGGCGCGGACGAGCGACTTGAAGATCGATCGCGAGCTCATCTTGTGCGAGAGTTACCGTGACAAGAAAGGGAATCAGAAGCGGTTCAATGGAGACAACCCGTTGGAGTTTGTGGAGGGGAGCGGGTATTTCAAGAACAAGCGCAAGATGTTTGATAACGTTGTTGGATTTGCCAAGTTCTCGGAGTACCTGCTTGTTGCTGAGGTGCGTCTGGCTATTTATTAGGTCGGATATATGCTAACTTGGGAGATAGGTCAAACCCAATACAGCCTCTCTGGATCTACAGGTTTCATTAGACGGCCGTAGGTTTGCGATGGGCCAGTTCCCGCCTGGCATGTCTGTGAACAACCACGTACGTGCCACCAATTTAACTGCTCATATCCTACTCACACCGCATACAGGCCTATACCATCTTGGAATCTAGTACGGACTCGGTCTTTTTGCATGTCACCATGTCCGACAAGCACGGCGCCGAGTGGGGTAACGTTCTCAAGTCCAACTCGAACGGAACTTACTATGGTCTTTCGCTTGGAGCCGTGAACCGCAATACACGCGGGTACGTTGATTTCGAGAAGGTGGTTGGCCTGGATGGAATTGCGGTTATGAATATTGTGGCGAATCCACAAGAGGCTGAGCACACGATGAAGAAAAAGCTGCAGACCCGAATTACGCATAACGATGGTGGGCTCTTTCGTTCCTGTTAAAGTTCACCTGTTAACAATTGCATGCAGGAGGTAGCTGGAAGCCGATGACGCCGCCGGCTAAGGACTCGCTAGGACAGAACTACGCATGCAAGGGCACGGTGGGTTTGTTTGTAAGGTTGTCGACCCGAGTTTGGTATTCAAGCCTTTCTGCAGAAATGCGCGCTGCATATACACGGGTACACAGAACGCTTCGACGCTCGCGCCAAATACAGCAGCCCCTCCGCCATTGGACTCATGATGGCCGTTGGTAGCGTCAGCGAGCATCTGGCACCGTACAAAGATAGCGACACGTTCCTCACTCGCGACGGTGGTTTTACCTGGGAAGAAGTACATAAAGACGCGCATCTGTTCGAATACGGCGACTCGGGTTCTGTCATCGTCATTGTAAACGACGAGGAGCCAACAGACCATGTCTTGTACACCATCAACGAGGGTCAGAGCTGGCGTGACTACAAGTTCTCCGACGAAAAGCTACGTATTCGCTCAATCGTGACTGTGACGAGGGAGACGAGCCGCAAATTCATTTTACTTGGACACAAGGCGAATGACCGGGACGCGGCCGTCGCTGTTCACATTGATTTCTCGGCTATTACTACTCGGAAATGTGAGTGCTCGACCTTGTGGTTGAACTCTATGACTGACTTTTGCTTGTAGGTATCCTGGATACGAGCAACCCAGCCGAAGACGACTTTGAGCTATGGAGTCCGAGCGAAGAACGAGAGGAAAAATGTCTTTTTGGACGACAGGTACGGTTGGCATCTCTTGTGGTCTTTAGTGAATGATCACTAATCCATGGTAACAGGTGTTGTACCATCGCCGCCTGCGTGATCGAGACTGCTACGTGGGAGATCAGCAAAAGAAAGCCCAGCTCGAGGTGAAGACGTGTACATGTGTAATGTCAGACTTTGAATGGTAAGCGAATCTACAACGCTCCTGGACGCACCTAACCTGTTTCCCAGCGAATTTAACTACGTCCGCAATGATGCGGGAGAGTGTGTGCTTACTCCCGGCGCTGAGTCCCTACCAGACGATGATTACTGCCCAGGCGAAGCCACCGTGTGGTATGAACGCACTGCGTATCGCAAAATCCCCCACTCGAGCTGCGATGGTGGAAACCGCCTAGATCGGGGTCCCGAGCACGCATGTCCCGGCATTGGTTCACATGGGTTCCTGTTCTGGGGTTTTGTTATTTTGCTCCCTATCGCATTTGCTACGGTTGTCGGGCTCCATTTCAAGCGCAACGGTTTCGCAACTGGGTAAGCCAACGCTGTTTCTGTGGAGTGCATTCAGCTAACATTGCCTGGCAGTTCAATTCGACTTCCAGACCAAGGCGGATTCCAACGATCTTGGGATGACAGTGGAATTGTTTCGACGCTGGCGTCAGTACCAGTCGTCTTTGTCGCGATATCGAAAGGGGTATGGGCGCGAGTATCGGCTGCTCTGCCCAGCCGAGGAGGCAGGTATCCAACACGTGGTGGGTACCGGAATGTGGCTGTTGACGAAGACGCGCAGGTCTTGCGTTTTGAAGATGAGGATTAGTGATGGGGTATAGATATGAATCTTGTTTTGTACTTGGTATGGTGCCTCCTATATCTATATTGCTCTGCATCACAGTGGGTTTGAATATTATGTTCTGTCTCAGGATAGAGTTCTTAGAGAAGATTCTTGGTCTTTATCATAGTTGACAGCAGCATATGCACAAGTCAAAGTCGATGCCCGAGCCATCAAAACAAGTATGACTATAAATGTTACTAGATTTAGATTTGGCAGTCCTACAACACTGGACAAGATGCATGCATACATATAAGAATTTAGGCAGATTTAGTCAAATTAGGAAAAGTGATATTTCAGCCTTCAACAAAAGTCCATAATTTCATGCCACAGGAACTCGTATGCCGATAAAAGTGCAAGAAGGCAGAGATTGTTGCGACATTGCAGTTGTGAAATAATTTAAACTTTTTGGGGCTAAAAGCGCGAGATATGCGTACTTATGCCCGGATAAGTGCATGCGTTGGAATATCACATTTAATTTCCGGAAAACTGTATATACAAAACCAAAACAAGCCAAACACGGTACAAGACAACTTCCACAGGCACGCACGAGGAGTGCCGGCCGCAGCGGTGCGATGTCTCAGGCAACAACTAACAAATATTGAGACTATACGCACTGCTTCGAATCAGCCTAGCAAGCTAGTTCAACACCAAATCACTTCTCTTATCCGAAACTAGCACCCCCGCTCACTTGTCTCTGCATGGTTCTGGTATGCCGGCTCAGATTATCTCGTTGCTGTTTAACTAAGATGCTACCACAAACTAAAGTAAACGTCGCACAGCCAGATAGAACTGTTTAGCTAGCGTGCCAAGGGTAAAAGACAGCACTTACTTATGTAACTTTTCGTCGCGTAGCTTTTTTTGTTGGCTGCTATCGTGTGTTAGTCGTTCACATACGCAGCCACAGTGCAGAAGAGACTTGACGGGGGTTAAGAGCTTGCGACGATGGGGATTTGTTGTGGTGGGAGTTGGCGCGGGGTCGGAGTGGGGTAGTAGATCAATACCAACATCAACTCAACTTAGCTTTTTCGGCAGGCCCGTGCGCACAGACCATAACAGAACTTTTTTGTCTTCTAAGTGTACATTTAAGTGCGCATTTATTTGATTTTTATTTGCATTTCCGATTGGTTGCGCGCATTCCCTACATTCGAAGTAATCACATTGCAATAATCCTTGCCTTCTCGCACTTTTATCGACATACGAGTTCCTGTGTGCCTGATACTACGAATAGCCATGCAAGTTCAGGCAAATTCATGCCTTTGCTCGGCATTAAACACATGAAAGACTTGAAGTGATTCAGCAATTCACCTTGTTGCCTCTATTTACGCTAATACAGCCCCAGACATCGTGCTGTATGCTCACTATAGTCGCACTCGAGCTGAAATCTCCACCGCACGGTGACACAAACAGGTCATATCTGGGCATCCAGTCCAGGACTGGACACTTTTCAGGTTGCGTAGCATCCTTCCGTACTCAATATATGCTATTGCTTTTGGAAGTAAATATCTCCTCTCTGTCGAAGTGGTTTCTGCGCGCTTTGATTTGTTATGTATCTTCTCATCTGTTCAATTCCTAGGGTGGTCAATCAATTATGGATTTATTTTACGGCAAAATGGCACGTGCTATTTTCCTTCCCTACTTGCGACCTCTGTATGAATAACCTAATTGATTGTATATGGCATGAAATCGTAGGTTCATTCAGGTTCATCCAGAGGCAATGCCACAATCATGTTGTTTAGAGTGCATGAACCCGAATGACCACCGTCATCTCCCACTCTCATTCATCGGTCATTCGTCGTTTCCGGATCTGATGTGAATGATTCATCATCTATCTAGTTTTCCGACATATGACTCACGATCGAGCTGCGCCGTTAAAGTGGCAAGACGCGGTCATACTAGATACTGATTTTATTTAGTTCTTGCTAGTGAGTTGGTCTTGACATCTGCACTTGTATCACTAGCTGACAATGAATTGCAAAATGATTGCGCCACCCTAGACGATTTTCCCCCTTGTTTTCTCAACAGTCTGCCAATCGATTTTCTTGTTTCTTTTTTCGTTGTGTACTTTCAGTTGATAGCTACGTTTGCGCTCCCATACTATAACATTTCCCCGCCTAAATCCTGAATTGTGTCAGCAACAGCTCAAGAGAGTCGCGTAGTTCAATACTTTTCCTGGCAGCTTATATGCATGGGGGAACTCAGACCAATTCTTTGAAGGCTATAGCAGAAAGAAGAGCCATAATTATACAACTGTATGTACGAGCTGCCCAATGCTATATGCAACGATTCTCTAAATTTACACTTCAGTAAAGCTCTCCTTTGCTTCGGCCCTTTTGGGTACGTTTTGAGGGTCATTTAACTTACTTAACAGTCAAAAAGACTGAACCCAAAAGAACTCCGGTACGGGGAATCGAACCCCGAGCCATTGCGTTAAAGATGAAAGGCAATAATGTTAGCCGTTACACCATACCGGATTAGGATAGGACTCTGGCCGCAGTTATCGAGGAGCTGCTGGTTAAACTTAATTGAGTCAAATAGCCATACTAATGTGAGCAGATCCATCATTTCAGTTCATCAAGTATTCATGTCACCTGGCTCGACAAGGTCCCCCCCCCCCCCACACACACACACTCAGCAAAAACTGGCCAGGCTCCACAAAGTCTGGCCGGTTTTTGCTGAGCACTGTTTTTCCTTCTATCACGTGCAGGATCCTGGATACCAAACTACTACTTAGCCTCATTACTTTTCTTCAACGACTCAGACATCTTAGTTGGTAACTCAAGTCAAAAGATAAAATAATAGCTTTTTTAGAGACCCAGTAACAAATATATGAGCTTAAGTTCGGCAATAATGAGCTTGAAAGGGCTAAAATTTCTACATTGGTACCACTTACATCTTGTGGATCAGTGCCCTGACAAAGCTGAAACCAGTTACTCCAAGACCAGCCAAAGCTCCTGACACCCAAATCCCACCATATCCACTAGATAACTCTGTATGGCTATAGCATACCCTACATTAACCCATTGAGCACCTTAGTGTAATTAGGACCCACAATCAATTTTCTCAAAAGTGGGATATGCACCCCGTCTAGCAGATTTGAGGCAAATTGAGCGGGTAAATGCGCGTCGATTTTACTACCGAGGTATGTGACATCAGAAAGAAATTCCTCGCCGGGAATATCAGACCTAAGCTTTAGAATTAGGGCCTCCTTTAGTGAATGGCTACCTTTTGAATACCGATTTAGTTGAGCTGTAGTTTCTACGTCACCCGTGAAATGTCATTCGACGAACAAGTTAGTATCGTACCTATAACTCATCGAAAGCATACTTCGCGTGTTCAACACGTTGACCTGCGAGTGAGCGTACACGAGTTGCATTGACGGATAAACGGTTACGCAAGCAGGAACATTCGCTGGCGTTGTGAAGACAACGTTTGGGCGAGTAAACCAGACTGGGAGATAGGAGCAAGATCGTGGAGGGAGCGTATCGCACGTGGATGCACCGAGTTTTTCAGCAAGCGAGTAACGCGTAAGAGCACGCGTCACGCGCAGATGTACCCGCACAGTCATCCATCTCGCGTGATTCGAGGTGTTGCATGGATGGAACCGAGTTATGGGGAGATCTGCGCACGCAAACGAGACTCTACACCATGGGGCGAGGGATGAGGCCGCCGGACGATACAAGACCGACAAAGGGGCCTAGCAGTGTGCCTAAGATTTGGAGTCTCAGACTAGGCTCGAGTTAAAGAAATAGGCTGCAGCAGAAAACAGCATGGGCCGACAGCATAAACCTCGCCTTAGAAGTTGTTGTGGACAAGTCAAGGATGTGCGAGTCACGTGGTTTTCCCACGGACTCGGAAAGAGTTGTCCAAACAAATTCCGCCCCCGCGCGAACTGACCACTGCACGAGCCTCGGAGCCAAGTAGGGCAACACGCCACGGTATTTAACTACCTGCTTCCAAGTGGGCCGGTTTACGCGTAGATGTCTAGTTCCCGGTCAATACTTTTGGGTTGCTTCTAGACGTGAGTGGTTGAGGCAGTTGAGTTGTTGATGAGCCTAGGTACCGAGGAGTGCGGGTTCTCCTTGGGCTATCAATACCCTTGTCTAACGGCACTCCAACGGCACGAACTTGAATCCGAAGTGAGCTTCCTACGCTGATTGGGGTCTTTCAAGAATCAATCACAGAATTCAGAATGATGAGCAGTGATCTGATCCAGGAATAATCCCGCCTGATTGCCCTTGTGTATCAATTTGTATTGATATATCCACGATTGATCTTCGGACAACGCGTTTACGAGAAATGTCGATTGTCTGACTTTCAAAATTGAACCCGGTACAGCCGTAACGTTTAATCACAGGCTCGTGTTCATATTGAGCCGCATATTCCATGATCCACCTTGAACGAGCACGCCGTCATCGGCGGTCACGGCCCAAATGCGCGGGGTTAAAGGAGGTAACCTTGCTGGTCGTGCAGGAGTCAAGGGCTGTACGCTCGGCTAAGAGAGTCAAATAGATAGCTCCTTCCCCCTCAGGTGAGTTTCGGCTGAACCAATAGTGTTAGCTCGATAAAGGCAAGTCTAGGAAGGGACAGGTTTCCTGGTGCAGGAAGGGAAGCTGTAGTGCTCGAAATGACCGCTCATATTGAACAATAATATAAGTATTCACACGAGGCAGAATTGCTATTCAAGCATACAAGCAGCATGCTCAGTACAGGGATCATCAAGCTTATAGTGCTGAAACGGACATTCGGCTAGCAAGAGCCGAAGCAGTCTTCGTGAGCGTCTACTTCATTTCCGGAGTTTGCGGAACGCACCCCCAAGCTGGACACTCTGGCCCGGGCTGAAGGTCGACTAGAGAGAACTGGGCGACGAGGGCGCGAGGCGATAATCGGAATGCTATGGAAGCTCGTGACGTGTGTGCCAGACTGGTTGCAATTCACAACCACTGCCCATTGACAGGGGTTCGGTGATCCGTTAGAGTTCGGTGCCGTAAAACTAGAGTGGTGTGAGCGGGATTTTTGCATGCATTGCTATTGGGTGAGCGCCAGTGGGTGTATGCTGTGAGGCTAAAGTTGGTACTTATTCGCATGGCTTGCATGCTGCGTCGTCAATCACGTTGCGTGCCGCAGGAGTTAAGACGAACGGTATTGATACCAGGTATCTCCGAGCAACGGTAGGCGGCATGACTAGTTATAGACTACAAATCGAAGCAATCGAAAAGCAAATAGCGGACTAAATGGAGGATGATCTCGGTGCGGAAGCCGACCGGATATCACGGCACAACAACCTCGATACCGGCGGCTCGATTGACAGAGTTTCACCGTCACCAGTCTCGGGCCTATATACGTCTTGTCCCCGGATCCTGTTCGCTCTACTTTCTCCCCTCTGCTCCATCTCGGTGCTATGGAGTTTACGTCACGCCACCAGCCGCCTTCAGGTCCTAGCACCCACACACTGTCTGCCTGGCCGTCTGGCAGCTCATCCCAGGGCGGAAAGCGGGCATTACTGAGCGACGGAGAGGGAGACGATAGGGACAGCGATGAGGACGAGGGAAAGAGTGGCGAAGCTCCTAAGAAACGGCGACGGCGGTGGGTGATTACAACATGATTTGTCGACGAGCGCTCATTGGCTGCGAGTTCCCGATTGATATTCTTGGGTTCTTGATCATCTTGCTATCTCGCTTGTTCTTTCCCTACAGCCAAGCCCTCTCTTGCACCGAATGCAAACGCCGGAAGATCAAGTGCGACCGACAGCACCCATGTGGACCATGCGTTCGTCGCACCGAGGCTGACAAGTGTCACTGGAATGTCGTCGAGCCTGCCGACAAGTACGTTCTGCGCACAGAATGGGAGGCACTTCAACACCGTGTCGAGGCACTCGATAAAGATAGGGCCAGATCTCAGCAGTCGGAGTCAGCCGTAGTAAAGGGCAACCTTAGGGATGGCAGGGAGGAGCTCTGTCAGGATTTCGGCCGAGCTCAAGGGCACTCGACTTCGCAGGATCTCAGTCAACACGGCTTGGATGCTTCTAGTAGGCGTGTTGTCCGCTTGGAGAATTTTATTGCCTCATTTGCACCTGAGGCTTGGGCGCATTTCCAGGCAGAGGAGCGAGGTGATTTCCGGAGGGCTAGTATTGGGGCAGATGGGCGAGATAGAAGGGACGAGGAGAGGGTTGGCTCAAGGGTGCAACCTCCAGACCGACGACTGGTCGCTCTGGAGGATGGCCATGCTCTGGTCGGCTCGGCAAGCACCAGAGTATTACCGCGAGCACCTACTCCGCGCTCGGAGTCCGTCCTTTCGTTATCTTCAACCAGGGACGATGTCGCGCCACAATTTCAGCCTCTGCCCCATCCTCCTCCAGCTCACATACGTTCACAAGCCTCACCCTTCTCCTATCACTCTCAACCCCCGCCATCCCAACACCAACACCAAGACTATTACGCTCGACCTCTCCCCCCTCGCGGCACGTCTGATCCAGCTTTGACACCTGCTCCGAGCGTGTCTTATTTCTCAGGTCGTTCAAACCAACTCGACGGTCCACTTCCGAGCCCCCGGTCCTTGGGCATTGTCCCTGGGTTCGACGAACCACGCAGCGAGACCAGTGGGTCATCTCGGGTAAGCTCATATCCACCTCCAGGGGCTTTTGCTTTGCAGCTAGACACTCATTTATGGTATTTCATCTGGTTATTGTGTGCAGTTGGCAGAATCGTGGGACAAGCATCTTTCGTCACGTGTCTTGCCACCTCCATTCCCTTCGCCCAGAACCCGAGCAAGTGGAGCAAGCGTATCCTCAACTATGTTCTCGGAGGGGCGACGACTTAGCGACCCGAACCCGCCCGGAAAGTATGATGATATTGGAAGCAAACATGATGCGACAGGATCCAAGCACGACGGACCAGATGCCAAGCACGACCGGCAGAATAATCAGGGCCCCCAAGTGTTTATTTCGTTGTCCATGTCCAACGACATCAAGGGCCAAACCGACTTGCTCGCGAGCGTCCTAGACAAGTCAGAAGTAGCATTGGAGAACGGCGCCGTCCCGGATCGCACAACCTGCGACCTAATCATAGATCATTACGTGAGTACACCTACGTTTGCGCTATGTTTCATGCTCTCATCTTCAACTGTAGTTCAAACGTGTCGCGTGGAACCATAACCTCATATATCCCGAGGCGTTTTTCGAATCCTACTATGCCTTTTTCAACACATCCCTCGCAAACCAGCGGGCCCCCTTTGTTGCACTACTTCTCGTCGTACTGTGCTTGGGGTTGGGGAACATGTCACCTGAACGAGCGATACGCGAAAGAATATGCAAAGATGTGGCGCACTGGAAGCACCGCTGCTGGGCTCTTTGGCTTGGGTGCCAACGAGCGTTAGGGGCATGCAACTTGGCCCGAGTAAAGGAGCTTGAGGTCGTGCAGACCCTGATCATGTTGGTATACTGCAACCAAAGCTTGAACGACAATGGGTATGTGCT